GGGGAAGAACGGTGTGCGGGGGCCGGGAAATACTGCTGTTTGCCCCCCCGATATGCACACCTCTCGCCCCCGCTCGCTGTTTCCCACCCGCCCGACATGCACACCTCTTCCGTCCGCTCGCTGCCAACCCCTCGCATCCTTCCCCTCCGCCCCAATGTCGCGTCTCGGTACTTGGCGAGCCGAAAGAACAAAATGAAACACAGAGGGCCAACCCCCATCCTTCCCCCCCGCTCCAATATCGCGTCCCGGTGCTTGCAGGCCCGAAAAAAACAAACGAAACTCTGAATACTCACCTCCCCCACCCCGATACGCCGTCCCGATACACGCGAGGCCGAAACGACAAACCCCCTGGCCCAAACCGACAAACGCCCCACCCCTCCGATAGGGCCGACAACAACGAAATGACAAATCGGCCTGCTACCATCCGCGTGGGACCGCCAGGACTAGCCCGCCAGCGAACCGGGTCTCACGTGGGACCGTCACGCGAGACCCGCTGTTTGCTTTAGAGTATTAGGGAAGACGAAAATAAATTCCACGACACACGCAACTTTACAGCAAGAACAATCAAACAAAAGAAATGAGTTCTCAATTGATTTCTATGTTCTAACTTTGTTGTCTGTTCTTTATGATGACGTCCTACAGTTTACAGGTACCTCAATGACGGCCAGACTGATCAAGACAATCAGCACACTCGTGAGTACACACAGCATCCACAGAACAACCGCAGGTAAGTGAATCAGCCAACACAACAGCACAATCAATGGTTAGCTCTCCTTCCCTACGGCTGTACCATCTGCAGAAACAATGCAACCAATCAAGGCCAGCATGCGACACTACCGCAAAACGTGAAGCCGTACCGTTTGCCAGCACACAACTGCACACTCAACTTCATTATCAGAAGCCTGTATGCATGCCACATGTCACCCCTGGCATGCCAACACAGCAGTTCTGCCACGTCAGCATCAAGAACCAAAAAGGTCTACAAGGAGGGATACCATGTCAGCAGTGCAGGTCTGCCAGATGCTCAACACTGGTATGCCACGTCAGTGCATCAACAGCAGTCAACAGTGACATAGGTCCGTGCTTCGTCAGACCATGCCCTGTATCACATCAGCATTCCACAATATGCCACATAAGCAATGTGCCACATCAGCGGTGCCGATCTCTCACTTAACCAGCGCCACGTCAGCCTGTTGCCAACGAAGCTCTAGCCGGTATCTTGAAGTCTTCAATGCAGCCACGTCATCATCTTCAAGGGACAGCTGCTCGCACGTGCAATACTACAATGTCTAGACTTAGGGTATTTACCGCGCACGTTAATAAACTCGTTTCGTTTTGCACATGCGGCACCTCCCTCTTACCTGGGTGCCACGTCAGCACCTGACAGCAGATTGCGATGAAGGAGTATGCTCCGATACCAAATTGTAATGAACCCAGTCTGGCAGTAACTCATCAGTCGTCAAACATCAGTAGTCTCGGTGTCTGCTGCATAGTCTCCAATTATCGTGAAATGATATCTGAAACAGTATCTCATTACCATTAGACGAAGAGAGTGGAGGGGGAATAGACAGAGGAGAAGATGGAAGATATGATCAATAATCACACAATAATAATCCCATCAAAACCCACTTCTTCTCCGGGCTTTTTCCCTCTCCACGTCAACAACCAGTATATGATAACAAGTATAATAATCCTCATCACACAGTAGTGCCATGTGGCACTCTCATCTCGTGAAGACCATGAAGACTCAGCAGAATATAGTGACGACGTCAACCTCAGGTGAGTACACAATCCCCTTTATCCACAGATCCCGATCTTCGTCCTCCTCGCAACCAGTCACCTCATGTAGACAGCATGGACAAGGCCACGTCAGCAGTCGAGACAGGTGGCTTACGCCACATCATCAATGAAGACCAGAGGCAATGCCACATTAGCATGCCATGTAGACCAGAGGCAGCGCCACATCAGTATGCAATGTTGACCAGAGGCAGGGACACATCAGCAATGCAATGTAGACCAGAGGCAGGGCCACATCAGCATGCAATGTAGACAAGAGGCAGGGCCACATCAGCATGCAATGTAGACCAGAGGCAGCGCCACATCAGCATGCAATGTAGACCAGAGGCAGCGCCACATCAGCATGCCGTCACAGTCCGTGTCGTCGTCCACAGTGCCTGCGCACTGCCAGCGTCCAGCCAGCGTCTCGCCAGCGTCGTGCCAGCATCGTGCCAGCGTCAATGCCAGCATCCATCGAAGTCAAGCCAGCGTCCAAGCAGCATAACAAGACTGAATGTTGACCACCTCGAGGCCAGCCTTTAAGTAGCATTTGACGAGGCTGTCTGTCCTCGAGTCCTGTTCCCTCAGTCGTCCAGATTGTCTCACAGCCGAGGGCCCCGATTGAATACAGTTGCAGACTTCCCCTTGGACCTGATGCTGTCTGGGTGCCTGCATACAAACAAGTGCGTGTGCTTGACCGGAGGCCTGGGCTGGGTACCTTTGGACTTTGACTGTTGGTGTCACGACAGTTGACAGAAGTCAACTGTCACATGTCCAGGCCCTGAATCCTCGTGTGGGTCTTTTTTCCCAGTTTTGGCCGGGGCTGAGGGCGGCCAAGTAGGCCCTCAGATATTCCACGAGACATATGGCATGGGTTATTGCAAAATAACTTTATAGAAAATATAATCGACGTGAAATAATCCAAAGCATAGGGGAGGACATTGAGAAATTGGGGAAATGTGATCAAGTATGGATTTATCAAGCCAAACATTATAAATATTAATCACATAACAACTTATGGGAAAGATAATGCACACTAAACAATCCAACGCATACGGGAGGAAATTTAGAAATGGCCCAAATGGGGGAAAAACATAGAGGGAATGAAGATAAGGGGCATAACAGAGGGAGAATGCATATGATCCAACAAACCAATTACTCATGGCTACGATCCGGACGTCCAGACCGCCATCCAGACGGTCTGGATTCAGTCTGGACTCCAGACGTCCGGTCTGGAAGGTCCGGATCTGCCAAAATTCGAGAAAAAAAAAAAAAAAAAAGGGTCCAGGACCCTTCCCCATTGAGGAGCCAAGCCCCCAAAATTGTTTTGGGGGTTTTTCAGGCCCATTTATGCTTTTTTGGGGGGTC